AGTGGTGTGGTGTGTGTGTGTATGTGTGTGTGTGTGTATGGGTGTGTGGGGTGTGTGTGTGTGGTGTGTGTGTGTGTATGTGTGTGTGGTGTGTGTATGGGTGTGTGGTGTGTGTGTGTATGGGTATGTGTGTGTGTAGTGTGTGTGTGTGGTGTGTGTGTGTGGGGTGTGTGTGTGTGTGTGTGGTGTGTGTATGTGTGTGTGGTGTGTGTATGGGTGTGTGCTGTGTGTGTGTGTATGGGTGTGTGGTGTGTGTGTGTATGTGTGTGTGGTATGTGTGTGGGGTGTGTGTGTATGTGTGTGTGTGTGTGTGTGTGTGTGTGTGGTGTGTGTGTGTGTGGTGTGTGTAATGACGGTTTCTTTCATGAACCTGAATCAAGAACTGAAAGCACCTCTTGCCTTTTGCTTTCTGTGTCAGTCTCCCAGGTTTGAACAATGGCTCTTAAATGGAGGTCACACCCCGTGTTTCCCTTCTACCAAACGTCATCTCTACCATGCAGATTCCTGTTCAACGTGACATGAGCTTGAAATATGAATAAGCCATCTTTCACTACAAATCCTTGCAAGCACTCTGGGGCTTAGTGTAGATGATGTCACATAAGCGAATATACATATTTTTATATAATATAACAGAATCTAAAACATTCCAAGAAATGTTGAAGCTTATCACAGTTGTAGTAAATTCCATAGATGAAGGAGCAGTTGAGAAACAATTCCCCAAGGCCCTCAAGTATTCTTTAGAAAAATGTAAACAACCCCTTTGTGTTCTTTAAGTTACATTTTCCCACTAAAACCTTCATCATTTATTAAATTCTCATCAGTTTTTAGGGATGAGGAGGAGGAAGGATATTTTTTTTTTCAGCCTCCAGCTGGTAACTTAACTTCTGTGTGGAGATTGATCGCAATCCATTATGAAAACTAAATTTTAACCTCAGGATGTGTAACTGAGTGGGAATTGCAGTCATACCCTTTCCTTCATGTTTGTACTCTTGCCTGGAAAGGAGAGAGAAACGTTTACAAGGAGAGCAGTTTTGATTATATAATACCAAGTGGAAAAATCTCATCAGAACTAATCACACACACTGATTCAGGTCTGATTAAAGCTTTTAGATAAATACATTAAGTAGGATTGGGTAGAGCAGGCCTAAACAGCAAGAGCTGGAACATTCAGAGACAAAGATTGCTCAAAAAAAACCCTTCCAAAACTGACGGTCTAAATTCACTTTTTAACTATTTTTCTAGTTTTTATAAAGTCAGTGTTTTAACAATATAATTATTAATGTTAGGCTAGGGTGTGGTTCATCGGTAGAGTGCTTCCCGTTGTGCATCTGGCCCTGGGTTCAATTCCCAGCTCAATCAGAAAACAACCACCGCTTGTTTGTGTTGTTTGTTTCCTAAATGTTTATTGAGTTCTCAAGCATCAGGGATTATGAGGAGCATTGGAGGTAAAATTGTAAAAGATCCAGGTCCTGTCCCTTCCCATAGGCAGCAAGCATAGCATCCAGTAACGGACAAACTAACAAGTCATCCATGGTGTCACCTGTATATCACACAGGGAGACCTGGTCGGGCCAGGGGAGGGTTTCAGAAAGCTACTTTAAGGCACTGGCTTTACACACAGTGACCTGTGTGGTAGAATATTATTTCAAGGTGTGTGACTTTTGTTTATGTGACTTTGTTTATGCTTGACTCAGTGAAGCTGTGATTCTCTGCCTGTCTGCAACACCTGGTGGTTTAATAAAGAGCTGGACGGCCAATAGCAAGGCAGGAGCAGGGATAGGCGGAGCTGGCAGACAGAGAAGATAAATAGGAGAGAGGAGGAGGACGAGCAAGAAGAGAAAAAGGAGAGGAGGATGTCAGGGGCCGGTCAGTCAGCCACAGAGTAAGAGTGAAAGTAAGATATACAAGAAATAGAGAAAGATAAAAGCCCAGAAGCGAGAGATGGATGGGTTAACTTAAGAAAAGCTGGCTGGCAACAAGCCAACTTAAGGCCAGGCATTTGTAAGAAATAATAAATGTGTCATTTATTTGGGAGCTGAGTGGCAGGTCACCTAAAGAGCCAAAAAGAGCAAAACGTCACACAACAAACCTGCAAGCCGAACACAAGCAAGTCGACCAATAAGCGGTAGAAGAAAAGCGGTCCCAGCAGAGGGGAGGGACTGGGCCAGGAAGCAGCTTGACATTTGACTGAATAAAGGAGTTGAGGGGAGTTCTGGGGAAAGGCGGCAGAGGCGGGGTGCCCTTAGGAAACTTAGGAGACTTGAAACTGAAACGCAGGCGACATCAGAAACCCAACAGCAGCTCAGGACAAGGGGGAAAGCCGTGTCGGCGAGCAGTAATGACTGCAGGGCAGCCAGCTTGTTGTGCCTGGCAGGCCAGGTTCTGGAAGGTAAGAACTGAGAGGTTAAGCAAGAGTGGATAGAAGACTGAAAAAGAAGAGAGAGAAAGAACCGATTGTAGTGTTGGTGGTGCTGGTAGCGGTGACGGCGGTGACGTTGGTGGTGACGGTGGTGGTCTTCAGGGGTGTCTGGGAGAATGAGTCCCTTTAAGGTCCCGCTGCCACCCCAAACTATAGAACACACACCTTGGGAGTATTCGGCATGGCTTGGGTTGGGTTCTGTTTCCCACAATTCTCTGCTGGCTGGCGGGTACCACTGACGTTCGTTCACCCGTGCACTCCTTGGGTTCCTGCTTCCCGGTCCCTTGAGTGATGCATCCAGCTTCCGAGTCACCACACTCTTTCACTTCCCCTCCCGTCAGAAAAGGGGCCAGAAAATAGAGGCCCACCAGGGAGGCGTCCTCCGTGTTACCTCCCGTCACCTGTAAATCCATTAACTGGGAATTTTCTTCTATCCGCAAGGTGACACCTTTCCCAGCGGTACTTTTAGTTTCCTGAAAGCCTTCAACTGGTTTTTAAGCCACAACCTGGGTGATAAACACAGTTGTGGCAGCCAGTGTTTTGATGTCACAGCAGCCAGTGGGGACTCATTTAGTCTGGGGAACAGGTATCAGCATAGAAACCTAGCACTAACCAGATGAGCCTGCGCTGTGTAACGGAGCATCTTAGCTACTGAGCTATTTGTTGAATGAAGCAGAAACTGGGAACTTTTTCAACTCACATTATTTCTCTTAAAAACTGGAACTCGGCCGTTAAATGTATCCTCTAGATGATCTGTTTTGTATGTTCAGCCTCTTAACAATAGAGGGGAAGGTTATGGTTTTATTTATATCTCTTCCTGAGCAGATTTACACACAGACACAGACACACACACACACACACACGCACACACACACACACACACACACACACACACACACACACACCCTTCCTCCTCCCTCTTAAAGATCCCAGGGTTGCAGTAACCTAAATGATCCTTACTTTCTGTAGGGTACAAACTGTGGCTTTGGTAATTGGCCTTGATTGTGGCGTTTGGAGGGCTGGGAGCATGGTAATTCTAGCCTCTGCTACTCTGCTCAGAAACGTGCACGACCCAGTACAGCACTCTTTGTAGCATGGTAATTCGTTTTCAGAAATGTTAAATGTTTGTGGGATCCCATTGTTCTTTCCCTCTCCTGTGTGTATGATTTATTTTGTAGGAGTATAAATTGAAACACATTCCTGGAACGTACAATGTCTTCAAGGTATTTTTGTTGTGCTTATCCTGAAAGTATAGACTCTTCTGTGTACCAGAGCTAATGACAACAGGTCCTTTTAACATTTGTGTGCTGTAACAATGGCCACTGGGCAGACAGCTGCCAAACATCTTGCAATTAATCTGATACACACATTGGCTTTCATATTCTTTTTCTTCCAGAACAAATGCCCTGAGGTGGAGGAGTTGGTCTTCAGCCACTTTGTGATCTGTAATGACACACAGGAGACACTGCGGTTTGGCCAGGTGGATACTGATGAAAATATTCTGCTGGCGAGTCTCCACAGCCACCAGTACAGCTGGCGCTCCCACAAATCCCCACAGGTATTTGCAAAGCAGTCTTACAAACAGCCATTGTTCGGGCTGGGGGCTTGTTTATTCTGCGTTTACGTGCCTGCCCTACGTGTGGTTATTTCCTGGCGGAGTGGCATCTGCTGGAAGCCCAGGAATGTCCAGAGGCCATGCTTCCCGGGAAGCATAGGTGCCACTCAGGAACGAGAGAGAGGCCTCTGAAGCTTCATGCACAGAGGTCTGGGTCCTGTGCTGGGGAGGGGCCTGCACCTTCTGAGATTTGGTTCTGGCATCTGCAGAGTAGGGATGACAGCCCCTGATCTGAAGAAGGTGCCGGGTGCTGCTCGGTGTGCAGTGTTCAGATGTGCTGAGCCAATTAACCATTCGTGTACTCAGATTTCCATTTTTCTGTCACTTTACATGGGGATGATTAGAGAGACGGGCCCTTCAGCGATAGTGTACGGATAAATTAAATGCAAAGATGTGTTCTTAAATGAGAAAAAGAAAGCCTAGGAAGCATTCTCGGTAATAATGTATTTCTAAAACTCTGGGTAATAAACTACTATCTGCTTGTGATTAAAAGTAAGTCATTAGATTAGAGACCATGTTTTCCCATGTGGTCCTTAGGTCTGCTCCACCCTCAGGCTCCGCCTTTCCACTTTTCTCCTCTGTATCCCAAAGAGCTAGATTCTTATCTTCTATTTATTTTGAGCTTTTTTCACATGAAATCACCCCACTGTTGTTATAACTTGGAAACATAGATATAATGAAATATTCTTTATCTAAATATCCTAATTTTAAATCTAATTAATGTGACAGGACTTTAAAACTGTAAGCTCGTGTGATACAAATTCTCTTTTTGGAGGTTAGTTTTCACTGTGTTTAATTCTGTGTGTGGGAGTGAGTCGGTGTGTGTACTTGAGTACAGGTACCCACAGATGCCAGAAGTGCAGGGTGCCCTGCTCGGCCTCGCATAGGCCCTGGGAACTGAACTCTGGAAGAGCGATGCGTGCCCTTAACCACAGGACCATCTCTCCAGTGCCACGTAATAAAAATTCTCACCAAAGCTTCTCACACAATATGATACTGCGCTCGTAACTGTACCCTAAATCACACGCGGTTTCCTTCGTTCCTCTTGAAAATGTTCCATGTTAGCTTTCATTTGTCCTTTGTGACATTATAAACATTGGATTTATTTCAATTTTTTTCTTTTTGCTAGCTTTTTCTAACTGGTTGCAAAAGTTAGAAGCATGCAGTTATCTACCCAGAACAAAGGCCCATACGCACGCAATGCCAACTGCGTCAGCACAAGCTGTATAGCCTTTTAAGCCCTTTAAAGGTTTCCATGGTCAGTGCAGCCCCAGAAATGCATTACCAAAGGCAGGAAATAAGCCTCAGAGTGGTTTAAATA